GCATCATCAGGGCACCTCTGCCGGGGCTACTGGCTCCAGAGGGCGGTAGCCGCCCGCGCCGCCTGCCCCCTGCCATGACATCACCGGGCACCGCGGGCGGCACCGGGAACGAGTCCCTGGGGAATCTCCCCGGGATGAGCGACACCGAGCTCCGTGTCCGTCCGTCCGTCTGTCCGTCCATCCCGTGCCGCTTATCCCCCCCCGACGGAGCGGTTCCGTGTCCCCCTGCCCGTGGATCTTCCGTCCCCCCCGTCCCGTGGGGCTGATCCCGGTGCTGCCCCGGGACGTCCTTCCGAAGGGAACAACTTGAGGCAACAACCCGAGTGAAAGGAGCTGTGCCAGGGACGGCTGCTGCACCCCCGGGGTTCACCCTCCATCTTCTTACCCCAAACTTGTTATATTTAACTCCTGGCAATCAATAATTTCATTTATCTGCAAATTCTTTAACAATAAAACTTTAAAATCCCCTAAAACCACCCTCTTCAACCTGCTCTGCCTCCACGAACTCTTCCTATTTTATCCTGTTTTAACGAAGCCGAGTTTTCCTACAAACCAGGTTTCCCCCATCCCCACTGTGGGAGGTGTTTTCCTCTCCTTGGGAAGGCTCATTCCGGCTCCGACACCCAAATTCCCCATCAGACACGGCCCGATGGCCCTCCGGGACCTTTGAAACCCGTGAGTGGGTCGGTAACAGACGGGGAGCTCCTCGGTGCTCCCCCCCTGCCCCCCACCAGGGCCCAGCTCGGCTTCCCCGAGCCCCTCGCGGGCTGCAGAGCTCAGGAGGAGAAGAGCTGGATGCTCCTGTTTGAGAGGAACAAATAAAATCCCGAAGATCTCCAGAGAGAAAGGTGCCACAGGTCGTGGTTTGGTATCAAAGGGCAGCGATTAGTCCCTCCTGACCAGGAGGCAGCGCTGAGGGCAAGCACATCCCTGGAGGGCAAAGCCTTCGAAGCGCATCCCCTCTCCGGATGCCACCACTTCGGGTTCTCCCGGGTTGTCGGAGCCAAGTGGCCTTTATCCCGGCTGCTCCGGTGAGCCCGGGAATGCCACCGGCACGGCAGCCCCCCGACGGGGCCGAGGGGTGGGGAGAGGGTCCCCACGGCTCTAGGAGGGCACGGCGGGCACCGGCTTTGCCACAAGGAGCCTGGAAATGTGGGGCCTGGAGGGTGAAAGGGCTTCCAGCTGCCCCTCGCTGAGGAAAGGGCCGCGCTTCTGTCCTTCTGTCCCGGGGAGGGGGAGAAACGAGGGCACCAACGCAAGAGAAACAGGGGCTAAAACATCCCACCTGGGGGTACGGCCATTCCTCTTCCACACAGTGGCCTCAGGACACAGCAGGCTGCTGGAAACACTGCAAGAAAATAATTAAAAAAAAAAAAAAAAAACCAGAAATGAGGGTACCAACGCAAGAGAAACGGGGGCTAAAACATCCCACCTGGGGGTACGGCCATTCCTCTTCCACACAGTGGCCTCAGGACACAGCAGGCTGCTGGAAACACTGCAAGAAAATAATTAAAAAAAAAAAAAAAAAAAAGAAAAAAAAGGAAGTAGTCCATCTTACCAGCCTGTTGGTGTTGAAGAGAAACCCCAGTCCCGGCCCCGATCACCGGCCGGAGGGACGGGGCAGCTCCAGGCACCTCGTCCTCCCTCAGGGGTGGGTCACTCCCTGGCACAGCAATGAGGTCCTAAAATCCGTTAAACCCATCATTTTCATGTTCCAGGTTTTATGAAGCAGGGCCACGGCGCTGACTGTAAGGGCTGCCCTCCTGCCCAGGACTCACCTTGCGCTAATTGGGTTGAACTTCATTAGCTTGCTGTGGTGGGGGGGCGGGATGTACTTACCGAGCTCACAGCGCCGTCCCAGTCCTCTCACCTTGCCAGAGAAGTGGCATTTTGGTAAAAAAAGCTGAGAATCCACAGCACAGCGAGCCCTGAGCCTGGGAGAGGTTTTGCAGCGCTCACCGAGGAGCCTGTTGCCAAAAAGTGGTGGTTTTGGGTCCATCTGTAACACATCAAAGCCTGGCTGTGAGTGTCAGCCCCCCTGTGCACCCCCCCTCCAACAAACACCCCTCCCGCAGCCCGGAAGGTGCAAGGCCTGGAGTAAGCAAAACCCTGATTAGTTTGGCCAAATCAAGTTGAAATTAGATCTTGGCCAAATCAAGTTGAAATTAGATCTTGAAGCACAGGAAGACCCACATGAGGATAAACCTCCCAGCTCTGGAAAGGCAGCAGTTTATAAAAAAAAAAACCAAACCACCAAATCTTCGGAGTTCAGGACCTAATAAAGCAACGTGGGAGTCAAAACCTGTCAGTGGAGTCATTCCGACAAAGCACCTTCTCCAAAAAAAAAAAAAAAAAAAAAAATCCCAGGGATCATTCAGACAGTGCTCTCCTGGAGTAAAGCAACTGGACAGGGAACAACCACCACATCATTAAATCCCCGGTGCAGAAATGTAAAATAATCCCATTTTTAACTGGAAGAGTCCACATTTGACAGCGCAATCTGCACTTAAACCAGAAGCCTCCAAAATCTCACTGTTTTACATCTAAACCAAGTCCCGTTAATACCCGGGCATAAGCCGGCATTATCTGCCTTTTGCAGAGGGAAGGGAACGCGGCCCGGGCTCCTGCTTCAAGAAACTCGGCCTGTAACATGACCAGGGGCTCCCCCAAAACCTCACAGGGACCATCAGCTCAGAAACTCCCCAGCACCAAGGTGTTTATTTAAAAAATAAAAGAGTTATTAAAAAAAAAAAAAAAGAACACCCACACAAGCTTTTTTTTTTTTTTCCTAATGACTTTGCACAGAAAAAAAAAAACCAAAACCAACCCTCCCAGTCCCTTCCAGGGCCCTCTCTCCCACCACTCTCAGTCCCTTCCAGGGCCCTCTCTCCCACCAGCCAGAGGAGTGGCTTTTATAACGCAAAGACAAGGTTCGCTCCAGTTTATTATCAGCTTGAAAAGTTACCCCTTCGGCCCTGGCAACAGGCAAACGTTTTTGTTTTTTCCATCTCTCCAAGCACCAGAGCAGTTAATTAATCGCTGCCCGGGCAGGCGGGGGGAGGCCACGGTCACTGCCACCCTCCGGACCCGGCCACAGTTCGGCTGAAACGTGTGAAACAAAGGATTAAATTCGAGGGATTATTTTTTTTTTATTATTTTTCCCTCACCGCCGTGTATTAACAGGCTGTTGGGCGACGGCAGGGCAGACGAGGAGCAGCTTTCACCCTTCCAGGAAACGTGTTTCCTAACCCAAATTTCACTTTCAGTAGAAACCTGCCCCTCTCCCCCCAGCGCTCCGCCGGTGCCGGGGGTCGGGCAGAGCCCAGTGCTGCGGGGAGCCGCGGCTGCGACGTTTAAATACTGTTTAAAGCGGGTTTTGCTAGAAAATTATTACCCTCCCCCCGCCCCCCCC